AGAGAGAGAGAGAGAGAGAGAGAGAGAGAGAGAGAGAGAGAGAGAGATTGATTGATTGGTTTATTTTATGCCATAGTCACTGATTTTAGGCAACAAAGAATCACAAAGGTATAAGTATACACAAAGAAAGAAAAAATAAAACTAAAATAAAAATAGAGCAAAAGTAAAAATAAAAAATGAGAAAGAAAGGAACAATACAATTGTGGCAGATGTGTATCAAAGTCGCAAGACTAATTATATGATAAAATAAAGTAACTTAAACTAATAAAACGGAAAAGAAATAAGCTGACAAGTAACTTAAACTAATAATACGTAAAAGAAATAAGTTGACACCCCAAATCAGACTGTGCATAGTAGGCAGAGGCTAACTAGACTCTAGATCGAACTACGGTCAAGCGAGAAAAGATGGTCGTAAAGTTTATTTTTAAAAACAGCGACAGACGTTGCTGATACTACGTCAGTAGGAAGCGAGTTCCACAAGTAGACGCCCGCAAGATAGAAGGACTTACGATATCCTTCGGTTCTGTGGATGGGAACATGGAAAAAATGAGGTATAGCCAGACGCAATGATTGCCTAACTGAAGGGTCAGGATCAGTGAAAATTTCAGAGATGTGGGTAAGAAACATGTAGGAGATTTGACTTTGGACAGCGGGCGAAGTATGGCTCGCTTCCACAGGGACGGAAAGTGACCAAGTTTAAGACAACTATTGAAAAGTGAGGTTAGGAGATTACCAATACAAGGCAGGGCTAAGGCTATGGCGTAAAGTGGTAGTTGATTGCAACCTGAAGCGAGAGAAACGGAAGATGAGGAAACGAAAGTGCATAGATCATCACTGGTTATTTGGGAAAAACTAAAAAGTGGTACATCGGGCACTATAGATGAGATAATATCAGAAAATTGAGATTGAGAACATGAAGAAAAGCAGTTGGAGATAGAGGCATAATGAGCATTGAGAGTATCACGTGAAAAGAAGTTAAGCGGTGAGGATAAGGGCGACTCGACAAGACCGAGATTGGTAAGCTCGCGCCATAACTTGGACGGGTCAGAAATTACACTTAATCTCGCCATGTTAAAATGCTCCCTGGCTTGTCTTAAGTCATCAGTGAGACAATTCCTATACTGCCTATAAACATGAAAATCAAGAACGCTACCAGATCTTCGAGCGATATTGTATAGACAATTGCGATGCCGAATTCTACGAGCGAGAACATCAGTAAGCCAAGGCGCAGATGGACGAGTAACACAAAAGGTGCGAATAGGTGCATGCCTGTCCAAACTGGAAGTGAAGTCGTTGACTATGGTATCCAGGATGCCATTCAAGTCGGACTCATCGAGATCCCCACCGCCAAAATCCGCTGCAAAAGAAGAAGACAACGTTGAGGTGAGAGTTTCAACGAATCTCTGCTCATCAAACTCTTTATAGCTCCGGCGAATTAAAGTACGCCTCGCAAGGGACGGAACCACAAACGAATACGTCAACTCGATAAGGTCATGTCCGTTGATAAAGGGCACATCCGACTTGCGAAACGATAATACCTTGTCCAGACTGTCGACAATGAAAACGTCAAGCCATGAGTCAGAAGGTGTGTGATAGGTTGACTGTGACTCCACAATGTGAAGCGACAATTGCGAGACTATGTCTCTGAGGTGATTGGGTTCGTAGAATGATGCAAGGAGATTGCTATTTAAGTCACCCGAGATAATGATGTTCTTGTAGTTATGCACAATCGAAGATAGAGCGTCAACATATTTACCAAAGTTTTTTCCTCTCGGTCTGCGAGGTAATCGAAGTAAAAAGGAGAGGCTCGCATGCGTCACCCCGAACATCAAGAACAAGATATTCAGGTTCATTAGAGAAGGACGGAGGCGACGCCGCCAAAACGCGCGCGCGTAGCGAGTCATGAATATAGCAAGCGACACCTCCCCCCTCCCTGCCCTCTCTGTCAGCACGTAATAAATAATACCCTGGGATGCGAACTAAGTCATCGGAAATGTGCGAGTGCAGCCAGGTCTCTGAAATCGAGATGATGTAAAAAAAGTTTGACGCTATGAAAGCCTGGACTGACTCAAGATGGGCAGGGAGGGAGCAGGCATTGAAGCATGCGATCCTGAGACGACGCGAAGCAGAAAGAACTACATCCGCCGCCACAGGTCAGTGAAGCTGCTCAAGATCAGCCTCCGAGGCTATCGAAATTGGAGGCTGACCATGATCCTTGCGAACAAAAATACGACCATCCCTGCTCCACACATGCTTGAAAGAGGTCTGTCTTGCCTTAATCCTCGTCTGTCGCAACAAATTGTAGGCATGCGTCGGAAGTAATTCATTTACGTAAACATTACCAGGGACATTAACCGAAAAAACATCACTAACCAGAAGTCTACGTCTGCTCCGCATAATCTTTAAAATGTGGTCGCGAATTTCACGTGACTTAAACGCCACGATGACCGATCTTTTACGTCCAGAAGTGCCACTCGGAATATTACCGGCCGATACGGAACCAGACGCCACAGCACTCACGACGGACGTATCCCGTCCGACCACATCACGGGTCTCGAGAACGTCAGAAACCAGATGAGATACCCCGAGTGCACAAAATACACTTTCGACGAGCACCCCTGAAGCATCGGTAATAGAGCTTGGAATTCCCGAGATAATAATTTCAGACGCTCCAGACACTCGCGATGCAGCAGACAGCCCCCGATCATCATGCTGAGAGCTCAGCAGCCGCGCGCTCTGAGCCTCCAGCACCGCAATTCTCTCACCATGGCCCTCAACGATCTTTAAAATGTTCGGTATTTGATCGAGTTTTTGCGCAAAGTCCACGTTTACAGCTTGCTGCCGATCAATGAAAGCCGAGATTTTCTTGTCCGATCTCTCGAACACAGCCGTAAACTTTTTGTCCAAATCATTCAGCCTGGCAGCAGACTTCGTGTCAGCTTCCTCAATTCTCGTCAGAATTGACTGCAACAGCGCCTCAGTAGACTGTAATGGACCACGAGGCACACCATCCACCGCACTCTGCATAGCAGGGCTCCTATGATCCACAGGTTGAGAACCATGTGCCTCCCTCGGTGTGAGAGGCATTGCTGACAATTGCACTCTGCAGCACCCACCGGCTGATTTAGTACCAAGATACGCCTTGACGCAGCCTGGGTGAAACAATCGCCCGCACTCAACGTACGATTTTGCCAAACCGGCAATAGTTTTGGAACACCTACTACACGTGCGCTGCATAGGCGCTGCCAACCAGACGCCCCAAGATCCCTACCGCTGCTATCTATGGGCGCTACTACTTTTATTCTATGCAGAGCGGTATTCTACCTTATATCTAACTTAGTCTGCTACTGGTGCGTGAGTAGGAGTTGGCCCAAGGTTTGTGAATCGCAAAGGAGGCTAGAAATGTAGGCGACACTTTCTAATATATGTTTTAGAACGTTATATTTACAGACTATTTACAAGTGTTTGCGTGTAAGTGTTTTTGGCTAATTTGACTTGTATTCTGTCTCTGCCATAATCTGTACCGCGACGAAGAACGCCAGGATCGGGTGGTCACGCGTAGGTTGGTCATGTGTAGAAGTCCGTGTGTGACCTGAAACAAAGAACTGGGCGACCAAGCGCCGTAGGTTGGCTGGCGTCTCGCGCCTGTGCCAGGCGACCGAGCGCCGTAAAGATCGGCAAGCGTCTTGCGCTGTAGCCGGGTGACTCGCGCCATGAGATTTCGGCAAGCGTCTTGCGCTGTAGTCGGGCGACTCGCGCCGTGAGATTTCGGCAAGCGTCTTGCGCTGTAGCCGGGCGATTTCCGCCGTGAGATTTCGGCAAGCGTCTTGCGCTGTAGCCGGGCAACTCGCGCCGTGAGATTTCGACAAGCGTCTTGCGCTGTAGCCGGGCGACTCGCGCCGTGAGATTTCGGCAAGCGTCTTGCGCTGCAGCCGGGCGACTCGCGCCGTGAAGGCGACTGGCGCCGAGGGAGCGACTAGCGCTGTGGAGGCGACCAGCGTCAAGGAAGCGACTCGCGCTGTGAAGGCGACTGGCGCCGTGAGCAGGCGTCTTGCGCCGAGAGAGCGGCTAGCGCTTGGGTAGGCTTCAGCGTCCGGGCGCTCTGTGCCTTAGGCGACTTGCGCCGGGAAGAATTGCTCGAGCCCGTAAGGGGTCTCCCTTTATACTCGTCGGTGCAAAACTTTGAACTCGCGAAGCTGCCCCGGCGATGCGACGCCTAGCGGCGTTGCTGCAAACTGCCGGTATTGCAGGCATCGCGCAGGGATGTATCATTGGTGGCGTGGACCGCCACACTATCGATTATCGATTGTAGTATCGAGTAGGCCACGAGCAATTAGCTAGCCGGACGGCGGAGCTCGCGTAGATTACGACAGGCGTCGCTCCGACAGCAACACACTCGGGAGAACAGCAGAGTGCAGAAAAGAGCAGATAGCAAGGCAGGCGCATGCGCAATAGGTCGATGTCCTCCACGGAACAATTCCAAGAATACGGTTAAGATAAGCAAAAATTTATCACAGAAATGCTCTCAATTATACAGCAAGCACCCAATAGATACCAATTGTGCGTGACAAGCAACAAAAGACGTGCCGATACCTGCAACAAACTGGCCCGAAGGCAACTTACGACAGAAGAAAAACTCACTTGAAGCAGGAGCAAAGAGAACACACACGCAATGCTACTTACTTGAGAGAGAGAGAGAGAGAGAGAGAGAGAGAGATTGATTGATTGATTGATTGATTGATTGATTGATCATTTATTATGCCCAAACAATAGCTACAGGGCAAAAAGATACAAAGAAAATTATATCAGCAAACACATGCTCTCTCTCAATAACAATATGCCAATTACAAGCAACTTACAACTAACGCTACTTAAAACTAACGCAACTTAAAACTAATAAAGAATTGCAACGCAACTTAAAATTAAGAACTAGTACACTCGCAGGAGGTACGCAAGAACAAAAGAACAACAAAAGAACAAAGCCCGTCACTGCGATTCAGACAAAAGCAAAAACGCAAAAAGTAGGCTCTTGAATGATGCAAGTGAAGAAGTTATTGTACTAGGAAGAGAATGCCAGAAATATATGGAAGAAAGTTGGAAGGAATTTCTGAAAGCAACGGTTCTGTGAGCAGGAATATGGAACGTCTGAGTGGATGAAGCAGCTAGTCGGTCAGATCTCCTAAGTGTTGGATCGGGAGGAGGAAAAAGCTCACATAGATATGAAGGAGAACACATATGCAGAATGCAAAAGGTCTGACATCCGAGAAAGTAATATCTCCTATTTTCAACCGAAAGCCACCTCAACCGACGTCGATCAGTGTAATGTGTTCGTCACGCTTAAGGTCATAGATGAACCGAATACAACAGTTGACGAGCCTTTGCAATTTTGTATTCAACTCGCTGCTCAAACCATGATATACGAGACAATAATGTCGGCTGCAGTACAAATATGTGGCATGATTAAGGTAGTGACGAGTTTAATCCTGAGATTGGTAGAAAAAGAGTTTTTATTGAACTTCAAATTATTCAACGCGTAATGCACTCTTTGTAAGATCAGCGAGATATGTCTCGTCCACGAAAGATTAGACATAAAGATGACACCCAAATTCCTAACCTCATTTACAAATGGTAGGGGCGTATCATTCACAATAGGTGGAAGACTACCAAGATCAATGCTATTAATATAAGCCTGACTTCCAAAAAATAATAACCTTAGATTTAGCAGGGTTAAGCTTTAGCAGAGAGAGAGAGAGAGAGAGAGAGAATAGAAGGTAGAAAGTAGATAGAAAGAATTGGCATAAAATAGATATAAAAGGATAGAGAAGAATATAAAGGATAGACATAGAACAGGAAAAGACATTAAAAGAGTATTAGTTTTAAGGTCACTTTACACAATTTACAATTCACGACAGAATTTGTGACAAAATTGTATGTACAGTATAAAAAAACATTTAAAAAATTATATATGTACATATATATGTGTATATGGGGCATTCTTTGTCAACCGGACACCCTTCTCTGCCCAAAATTTGTGTCGACCGATTGAGGTCAATGAGGGCTCAAATTGTAGGTAATGATATGTAGTTTCTTGTACCGTGTGGCCTTTTTGAGAATTAAAGATGGCTATCAAGGTGTCACGATGATAATCGAAAAAAACAAGAAAAAAATCAGTAAACGACTTTCCGTATGCCACACGATC